AGATTGCATAGGGATTGCAAAACGGATCTCATGCGCGACTAGACCGGTATGCGAACAAACGGTGCAGCGGTAGTATCTGCACGTGGCCCACCCGTCTACCACAATAAAACGCTTATTCACACAGTCACAATTGTGGAACGTTCGGCGCGAGGCGCGACAGAAATTGCGCGGATTGTACGACGACGTTTCGTCGCAATTTGCAAGCGACGCGGCGATTACGCGGACGCATCGCGTTCTTCTTCGATAAGAGCGCGGCGTTAATTTACGGCCACGCCAGTCGGCGCGTAGCGATTTATCGCGTTAAAATTTTCCAGGAGATTTTAAAACGTTATTTATAAAATACGCCGTTTTGGATTTAGCAGATTAATCGAAGCGATATAGGAAAGCGTATACGTGTAAAAAGAGTGCCCGTCATGTCACATCGACGCGACAGAACACGCGAATTATGAAAAAGCGATAAAATATACATATACATCGAACACATGAAAACACGTTCGAGCGTCTGGTTGGCGCGAACGGTTAAAAGTCAATCATATGTTTCGTCAAATTAACAGCGCGAGGGTGATACTCGGCGCGTCGCGTCTCTCTTTGTGTCGAATAATGTGAGGTATTCCGCGCGCGAAAATCGGCTCGACAACGGACGAAGTGCTGTTTCATTAACGAATCACGTTTCAAGTGGTACACGCGCGGTGTAGAAACAAATTGAGAACAACGTTGCACAAACCGAGCGGCGATTCTATAACGCTCGCGCCATCGCGTACGAGTGTGCCAATATACACGCGAGGTCCTAGTATATCCCCTCTTGCTGGAAAAACGCGATACCACTCACACATACACATCGAGAAATAAAATACCAATGCAACATTTTTTTTATCACCAAACAGCAGCAAGAATCGTGAATCGTCGCCAAAGTATTTCACTGGACGTTGATCGGCTACAACGATTAAAATACTCGTTTGACAAGAGCGAACTGTCAACTTATAATGCACGTGGCGAAGCGACAGGAGCGTGGGGTACCATTGTACCCTTTATAGAGGGTCAAGATGAAGGTTACAAGAAATGAAACGACGTCCTTCTTGCCTTCATTACGGTATGTAGATTGACATCGTTGGCATCGATAACCCCTTCGGTAAACCGACGGTTGTGCGCGATATCTCACCGATCTCCTCGATGACGAGTGTAGGAACGTCGGCGGGAAAGGTGTCAACTCCAGGAAGCTCGCACGCTCGTACTCACATTATCATTTGAATGCGCGGCCTGACCGAGCTCTGATACGTGCCTCGGAATCGGCAATTTGAATATTTCGTCAATTAATCCGCGGATGCTATTTTGCATAGGTGAAGACGGGGTTACCAACGCACGTGGTCGCCCCTATTATTTCGACGACAAACATCTGACAATGTTATCCGAACGTGATATCGATCGAGCGATCGAGGGAATTAATGTTGCCGGATCACATAAATTAATCTCAATGGTATATAGTATAATAATAACATCGAGAATCGCTTTTTAGACTTTATATCTACAAGAATATAGAAGAGGAAATAAATCGATGTTACTCAAATTGTTACTTAATTAACAATTAATAATTCCCGTTAACATCCCAATTAACTTTCAACTTATTATAAACTTGTACCGCTTACTAAGGAGAGAAAAGTATATATAACGCGATGAATACTCAAGTGAACACTGCACCCTCGCCAGTCGCGTCACTGGAAGCGTTTTCATCTGCGTGAAATTCCCGACATAACTCGCGATACGGAGAAAATTCCACGAAATCCATTCTACGCATTATTCTTCTCCTCGGAAGATGGCTTCGCCACCAGGGTTTTTTTTTTTTTTTTTTGCTTCTGAATCGAGCATACGTACCATTAACGCGCGTCGCGTGATTACGTTGATAACGAGCTTCGACGATAAATTCTTATTGAGCGCACTAACCCGTTTGTTGCGACATTACAATTCTCGATTTCCGTAATTAGCGGTAAATTAATATTCGCTACAATCATCGAACGGCCGCGGTTGAACGTTTGGAAAAGGCGCTTAACATCCATAACATACACGCCCTTTCACGAAGTGGGGAAGAGAAGGGGGAAGAGGGAGGGGGAATGGGATATGCTTCGCAAATCGTATCGATCGCGTCGTATTTACCGAATGAGTTTTACAAATTACGTCGTGGCACGTTTGATTTGCACGACATTTCGGTGCATCGATTTTGCCTGCCCACGGTTACACTTGTGTTGTGTAAATTATATCCGACGTAATGTGTATATATAAATAAAAAATTATTTTATTAGCCGAGATATAAATGAGTATCATGACAACTTTACAATAAAAGCAATTAAATGGTACTGCGGATGGATTGAATTTTCGATTAAATTTTAATACGCGCGTTAATTTTCTCCGCGAACTTTGCGCTTTCCCTTCGAAATCTACATCCGAGAAAAGATTTCTCGTACTTGACTGTACGCGATTCCGATATATCTGATATAGAGCAGGGCGGCAATTCCGAGGATTTGATAAGCGAACGACGTGCTCCGTTTCGATGGACTTCCGTCCCGATAACAACGCCGACTCGGAAGATCCGGCGACGCGAGAGATTAGAAAAGAACGTGGAAAAATCGACATTAAATCGATCGCAGATCCTCAAGTAAAACTCGGAATTTTCTAAATAAATTACACGTCGATACAGAGTAAAAAGGTCTCTGCACAAAAGATTTACGTCGAAAAATACGAGAAGATCTCCGATTACGACTCGATATTCGAGTCGACTTCGAGATTCATGCGCGATTTTGCCAAACACGGGAAGTCCAACATTGATATCCGTTTAGTCTTTGCTTTTTTTTTTATGAGCTTCGATAATATTCCGCCGGCAACGAAACCTATCGATCCGCATTGGCATCCACGGGAGGGGGAGTTCAATGATTCAAAACTGTTCGAGAATGATTAATTATAACTGTACGATATCGCACGCGCTGATCCCCATTATCGTATCGCATAGCGAAACTCTGCCCATCGCAGGAATTCCATACCATATTACCGATATCGATGATGTCGTTGTTCTGCAATGATATTTACACGGGCAACATCATGCTCGACTGATTCCGATGAGATAAAAAAAAGTAGCGTATAGTCGTATAAGATTGAAAATAGGCGATAGCATTAAATACGAAAAGAAAAGCGGAGACGTCTACGAGCAAGTGGAAAAGGCCAGAGAGATCTTCCGGTTAAAGAGAAAAAAGATGCGTCATTCGCCGCGTCGCATTGAGATGCAAATACCCGCCACCTAACGTGATTTACGAGATGGAGGAACGTGCTCGTACGAGCGGGCGAGACTAGGAATGCTTCCGAATCCAAATCCGTTCGGGGTACGAGCAGATAAGACCTGTCCGAGCAATCGCCACAATGGACCGAGGATTTTATAGCGGAGGGTATCTCGCGTGCGGCGCCGGAGGATCACCGATTTTCTCTCGGTCAGCAAGTTCCCTTCGAATTTGGACGTAAAAGAGACGCCGCGGCTGACCATACGAGTTTCTACGATCTGATGGAGAGTCCTGAATTGCGGTCTGACTCCTGAATCTTTTGCGGATTCTGCGTGATTAATCCGAATGCTCGTTAAATCGAAAAGATCGCGTATATATATTGCAAATAAATTTTATATCGTTATTAAAGATTACTACTATTATACTTCCCGGATTGGATAAATAATATCAAGTCGGCCTTCCTAACAATAAGCTTCCGTTATTTATACGGGAGATACGTCCACGTGGGCGTATATCTATTGACAGTTATTCAGAAAGTTCCATTTCAAATCGTATAACATTGCGAATCGAATCGAGCTCTCTGCGCATCGAGGAGCGATGGCGATTCTTTTCATCCGTCCAGGTGAGATCCTTTATACGGATGAACGGGGGCTATCTCGCTGGCAACGATATCGTTGCGTGACGACGGCGTCGCGTGCGTATTGTCACGAGCGTAGCCCCGCGACTAACCACTCCGGAGCGTATTGACGCGGATTGCAGGCGCAGGTTAAATCGAGCAGACGGCGGTGGCGTCGCGACGCCGGCTGTGCGCAACCACCCCTCGCTGCGTCTCCCTCATCCCATTCCACCCCCTCCGCCCCCACTGCCGTCCAGAAGCGTCGGCGCGGAGAAGGAGAGAGAGGGGGGATTGCGAGAGAGCAGGGGTGGACTCTCTCTCTCTTTCTCTGGCGAGAGGGAAAATTTATAAAGAGAAACCGTCGGCGGTGGCGGGAGGAACGAGACTACTTGTTGCGCGTCGCGGCGCCCCCGTGACGCCGGCGCTCCCTCCCACCCCCGTTTCATCGACGACCGACAACGCCGCCGCCACCGCCGCTGCCACCCCTTCGACGACGCCGCCGTCGCCAACGACGCCCCGCGATGCCGCCGACAAAAATAGACGCGTCGTCGCGGCGCAACAGATATCACTCGGTTCGGCCTCGAGTGGCTCTCGGTATAGCTTCGCCCTCGCGTCTTGATTGCCGCGATAGCGGCGATTGGCATCCCGCTGACCGAGAAGAAATTTCGCCATGTCGAAACTTGAGAGCTCGATATGAATTCTATCTCTCCGTTGAGGAATATATACGCGGTAACTTTCGAGGGAACTTTGCTTAATCCGAGAGAGTCTGCTTAATTCGAGCAGTTGAATTAGCAAATTTTATTTATATCGCGATGATTGGGTGAGAATTTAAAAAATTATAAATATATATATATATATACGCAATATAAATAATAATAAATTACTACAAGTATGGTGTATATTATTAAGCGCGATCATTTATTTTAAAAAGAAATTCACGCGCATAACGAAAATTTTTTTCGAATATAAAGGTAAGAAGAAAATGACGGTGCGAACGGATATAACGACTCCTCATAAAAAAATAAGTCGACATTGTAGGACAATTTTTTTTCCGTAAGAAAGTTAATTTTTTTCCGCGAGATTTTCAAGAAAATCGATTTCATGCAAAAGAACGTTCCACTTACTTGTATCTGATTACCGATGTGCAGTTGCTGCGCTTGATTAATCTGCAGGGTGGAAGTACCGGGTCCAGAAGGAGGTCTCGGTGGTGTGGAGTTTGTGTTGAAGGGTCCTTGCGAGCCAGTCTGATTCGGTCCGCCACCTTGGGATCCTCTGGGTGGCAACGGATATCCCGGACTGCCGTGATTCGGCATCGAGCCCGGGCTACCGTACGGCGAGTATTGTTGCTTGTAACCACTGGGTCCAAGCATGCTGGGCTTGCCGCCCGTCGTAGCCGGCTGAGGCCTCTTCATGTCCGTCAGGCCCGCCGCGGCAAATTGCGTCTGCGAGCCGACGAACATGTCGTTCGTTTGCTGGTTCCCGAAGGTCGGCGTACCATTGTTCTTGTGATACGAGCCGGTTGCGGTAGCCGTGGCCTGAGACTGTCCGCCAGTTGGTCCCGTGCTTCCGGGACTGCCAAGGTAATCGGACGCGCCACCAAACTGAGTAAACTCGGCGTACGGGGACCTCGCAGTTGGACCCCGCGCCGCTGCAGCCGCTGCGGCCGCCGTTGGATTGAATCCGCCCAGCCCCATTTGTTGACTCTTGTGCTGATGCTGCTCGGCCATCTGCTTGAGCGTCTGGGCCGCGGGGCTCATCTCCGATTTGAAATCCAGCCCGGAATAAGGAAGTCGTGCGGGTGAGTATTGCGAGGAACCAAGAGCGCCTGGGCTCGAGTTAGCCGGCATAGCGTTGCCGTTATTATTACCGACGTTGTTACTATTGACGTTGTTCGCATTGTTCGGGTGCTGCTGCTGCTGCGGATGCATCGCGTCCTTGTCATCCTCGATCTTGATTTGTCCGTTATTCGTCGGGAGCCCGTTGTTGTTGTTGTTGTTATTATTATTATTGTTGTTGGCAGCAGCAGCGGCCGCCGCGGCAACGGCAGCCGCCGCCACGGCGTTGTTCGCCAACGTGTCAACGCTCTTGTCCTCGAAATCAAAGTCCTTCATAAATTCCGGATGGAAATCCGATATCTCGGAGATAAGATCCTTGAAAGCGTCCGACGTGATAATCTCGTCGCCGGTATCGTCGCCCATAAACTCGGAGAAACCGGGAAAGCCGGCACCGTTTGCCGCGGCATCCTTCTCCAGCGCGGCGGCGCACTGTTCCAGATCCACGAATTCGTTATCGGGTTCCTGCTTGCATTCAACCAGGTTCCCGATGTCGACGCAACCGATTCCGCCGCTACCGCCGGCGCCACCGGGAACAGGCCCGCCACCCGCACCGGGCCCGGGACCGCCAGGACCGTTGCCATTTCCGGCTTGCGGCCTGGACGTAGCAGACGAAGAGGTATCTGGACCAGGTTTCGGCGAGGAAGACGCGTTCAGGAGATCGCTTTTGACCGACGCATTCGTCAACGCTTTCACCGTTACGTTCGTCGAGATCGCCTGCGCCTGCGAGTTATTCGCCGCAGAGGTCGTGAACTCCAGCTGCTGAACGATCTGTACCTGAAACTTGGTAAGACCCTCGTTCCCGTCACTGCCACCAGTACCGCCCCCGCCGCCGGGCGTTTGGCCCGTCGAATTCGCGCCGTTCCCCGGCTGATGCTGGCCGTGGCCGTGATGAGGCCCACCGCCACCACCGCCGCCCTGGGCCTGCTGATGCTGATGTTGACCCTGCGTGCATTGCAGCTTGACCGGCGGCTCGCCGAAACCGGCATCGCCGCTACCAGCACCGGCAGGCTCCAAATCCTCGGCCGTCCTCTTGAGGTATTTCTGCTGCTGAAACAAGAAGATAAGAAGGATATAGTCGTGAATCATCATCGCGAATCCTTCGGTACAAAATGAAGAAATAGTATAACTTAATATAAATCTGCCCACAATACACAATTTTTAAGAGAGATATTATGTATTATGCTGTATTATTCTTTCAATTTTTCTTTAATTGATTAATTTTATTATTTCTTCCCTTTTCTCATTATGGTTCAATTGATAGTATTGATCGCCGTCAGATTTAGCGAGAGAACAGCTACTGGTCTTGTTTTCAAGACAGCCGCTTTTTCCATGCTCCGTTGCACAACCGTACTGAGGTATTTAACTCGTCGCTGGTGTCGCCGAGCTCGATTCCATAGCTTTTTCCGCGATTAACCCGGGCAGTTTCTCACCGTACCTGTCAATACTTGCGACGCTTTTTCAGCTGCTGTCTTTGTATAGATCGCCGACGGCCGCCCGCGACGGGCCGTTTTGTTTCGCGAGGAGCCGGACCCTGACGGATCGTAAATTTCACGACAAGAGGATCGTCTCCCGAATCGAAAGACTGATAGCACGTGATTCTATGCGCGACGTGGTTGATCCAAGTAGTAGTTGTGATCGATCGCACGCAATCAAGTTCTTCAAATATATATCACTATATTATATATATATCGACAATATTTTGCATTTCATATTAAAATGTTATCTAAATATTCTATATATGTTTGCAACGTGTTTCGCACACACGTTTTTACTAGTGCTGCAGAATGATTATCCTTATGATTTATTAACAAAGAGGACGTAATTAAAATAATCATTAATTAAATAATCATCTCGAGTTTAATTATTAATCATTAATTAGTAAGCGGTAATCATAATAAAACATATATGTATAAAAGATATTGCCATTCAATAAAATGTAATATCAGTATATCTCAATTTATTTTGAATCAATCGTAATTAAAAGTTGTAATGATTTTTTGTTGAATAAATTCGGCAATTATCACGAGCTACACTTCTCGTCGGCAGGGATTTCTGCGAGATCTCCAAGTCGGCGACCCTGTTTTCGATTGGGCAAACAAATTCACGGCGGCGGCGACGGGGGAAGAAAAGGGGAAGGAGAGAGAGAGGGAGAGAAAGAGAGATTGGAAAAAGTTTTTCCAGGGTGCGGTCGCGAGAAGCGCTTCAACCAGCGAACGCACACGACGAAGAGCGCACGGTTGCGAGCGCGTCGGTGTATATCTCTACATTTGTCATGATTTGAACCGGGATAACCTACCGTTTTCATCCCAAAAAATCGATAATACGTATTACCCTCTAATAGAGAATCGGCCGCTCTACGTTTCTCTCTGCTTTCTCCTCTCGCCTCATCCCCCTCGTCCTCCCTTTCCGTTCCCTCCCGAGACCCGAGCTCGAATAATCCCGCGTCTTCCGCAGATGTAATACGATATTCCGTCAGCCTTCTCTACCCGCAGCATCCTCCCGCCAATCGCAGGACCAGCATCATGCTCACCGTAAAGGTGGATGGCGTCTCCTCAATACCCGGCAACCCGGATTCCGTCCTCCCCTTTTACGTTCCGTGAAATGAAGTACGTTATAGTAGGCATAAAGGAAGCTCTCCCCGCCGCCAATCATCTCCTTGATGATCCCGGCAAAATGTAAGATCCATAATTGTACGATAATAGAGAGAATCGTAGCAGGTATATCGCGATCATTTCAAATTTACGATGATTTTTGCATCGTGTTTAAAAATTTATTACCGCACCTTCAGCCCCGAATTAATAAAACTACTGATACAAAATACGAATTGAGATTTATCTTGTTTCCTTCTAAGTTCAATATTAGCACGAATATCGCGTAAATACTACACCCGTTACGCATGTCTCTCCGATCGTATGATATTATAACAGGAGCGGAGGTCACGACACGCGTTGATTGCACGTGCGCAACGTGGATGCAAGACGCTGGAAAAAGGTCCGTGAAAGCTCTCGCGAAGCAATTTCACAGGGCGAAAAGTATGTGTCGGGGTTGGCAGATAACGGCGTATCCGAGCTCCTATTCGCGTCAATATTGCACTCCACTTCTCTCCCTCTCCTCCCTTCCCTCCTCCCCTTTCTTCATTCGTGCATCGCTCCGCCGTGGCTTTGGCAGCAAAAAAAAACAAAAAAAAAAAACTTTAAACTATGCTCCCGCGTTTCATCGAACCAATTACTTTCTCCGAGTTGCGCGATTTTCAGTCGTGCAAAAATGCGAAACCTCCCTTTCTTTTGATTTGACGCTGGTCAAAGATACGCTTACGGTCGCCGAATTAAAATTCTGTCCTTGTCAAAATGCACGAAAACGACAACGGTAAACGATGCGGTTTTGCTCGTAAATACTCGATATTATAAAAGTGTGTATTTTTACGTTTTTAATTCCCTATCCGGCGAAATCAGTTAATAATCCTACAGACTGCGCGTCTGGATACAAGTTTGCCAAACTCGAGGCCCAAAGTGTTATACGCCACTTCGTCTGGAAATAATGTTCCGTGGTATAGGCGTCGATTCAGTGCGTTGCTTAGATACAGAGAACTGCGCTCATGCGCCCCGCATTAGAACTAAAGTTCTGTATCGTTACTCCACCACTGTCGTTTGTCAAACGTGACGAGTAACGAGAGTGTGAATATAATACGATTGAATTAATTCTTACGCCGCTCTGAGCGCGCGGCTTCAAATTCGGGAGACGAATTTTCTGCCATTTCTGCTAGAATGTGACGCTTCCAACGAATTCAAACGCTTAGAATACGCGAAGATCGGCTTAATTCGTGAAACCGACACGTCTATAAAACGTTCCGAAGACGCTAGGACCCTTCTTAACGTCCGCCACTTGTTTCGTGTATAATAAGTGGCATGTTGCGCCACGATTAAGTTGCTAATGAGTCAGGCATCTGGAATTGGTATCTTAAATTCGTGTCACGTTATATTGTCATTGTATTCAGCAAATACTTTTATCTCTCCTGTTATTAATCGTGTAAATAAACTCAACTTTTCTGTCTAGAGATTTAATTTGGAATTTATAACAAATACATCTATTTTATTCCATATTCACATGTTCTGCAATTATATGATGTAATGAGCAAATCTATGTGTATTATTTTCGTATTGATCAGTCTGAATAATGTCATAAATTAACGCGCACAATGGATATAATTTTATTCATTATTTACTGAAATTTTTACTTGTTTTTTTACCGCAAGATTTTCGATCCTAGTTGAAGGAATCTAGAGAAACTTTATTATTTCGTATTTCAGATTTTTTTCTTTGCGATATAAAAGCATCGTCGACGATGACAAATCGTACATCTTGAGTGGTGGATCTTGGCACTCGTGGCGCGTCAGTAATGCCTCGAGATAAGAACGTGTCACTAAACTTGACGTGAAACTTGACGTGTACGCGAGCGCGCTCATGTGTACGTGCGTGGGCGGATACACCGGTGTCTCTATTGAGCGTTACATTTCGTTAACAACGCTCCCGCCAGTCGCGTCGCGACTGTTAACACGACCTAAATATCAACCGGCGAGAATGACGTTTCATGATACGCGGCCACCTCACGACCGTTCCCCTCTCTCCCCTGCTTTTCACGCTCGAAACTCTTTTTGCTCCCCGTCCACGCACGCGCGTTTATCGCTTCCGCGTTTTCACTCCCGATAAGCCCGCGGGCCCTTACGCGACTCCATGTAAATAACGGAAGGGGACCGCCAAACTTTTTGCGGATGTCGCTTTCGGTTTATTTAGAGATAAGCAGATAATACGCGTCGCGTGTCTGAAAAGAATCACGCATTGTTTTCGTACTGATTAATTCGAGGCGTGTTGATAAAATTATGCAAACGAAAGAATTTAGAATCCATTATAATAAAAAAAAAAATAAAATAAAATAAAATATGATAGAACTTACAAGTATAAAAAAATTGACTTTCCATTTTTTTCCTTTCGTCTCTCTTCACATTCAAACACTCCGGAAGATTCCCAATTACACAACTCGTGACTCTACCGAGTGGAATCGGCACACGAGAATCGTAATCTGCCAACTGATAGGCACTTACTGCTTCTTGTGCAACGATGCGTTATGTAATCGCCGTTTTCAGGATAAGCAATCGCGCGCACAATTTATTCAGATCACTTTCCCTCTTCTTCTCCCTTGCACGAAATCGCAATCTGTGATTATTTTAGCCAGGAACCTTTTATAAAATATCTTGCTTATTTCTTTCTACTAATCAATGAGGGAACACTCACTTCCGTGGTATAAAAAATACACGCGATTGTAATTTGGCGATTGTATTTAGCGACTTTTCGGCAGGGCATGTTTCTGACAAATTTTAGCGACCGGCAGGCTTTCGCTCGACCGTTGTTAATCATCCGCGCTTCTCTCCCGGCGCCACGACAACGCGAAATGATTTAATTTCGGCCGAAAATCCGTACTCTGCCGTGAACGAGTAAAAATGACTCGCGGTATATAGTGGCACGCGGTATTTCAGCGTCGATGCGAGGCGATTTTTCCGCCGTGAATGCGCAAGAGACAGAGAGAAAGAGAGAGGAAGCGGGAGGGATCTCCTCGTTGTAGAGGGGCATCCACACGCGATTACAGATGCAATTACGATATTCATCCGTGCAAATGTAAATGCGCCGATGCGGCGCGGCTGCCACCGGTCGCGAGGCGACCGATCCCGCCGCATCGGCTTTCAAAAGAAAAATGGATTCCCCATTGCGCGCATTACCCGTAGTACAGATACTCACGCACGCACGCATTCACGCACGCACGCGCGCGAGCGCGCTTTTGATTTAATCGTTATTGCTGTAACTCGTTGCGCACACACATTTTGTCGGGCGAGAGGTTCAAACTGTCACGCCTGTTTTAAAGAATCACGCGCTTTCCAAACCACGTCGGCGTCAGGCGCCACTTTACGCGGTGCTCGTGCTGTCCGTTCGCGTATTTCAATAATCAGATGCAATAACGTGGATTTTATACGTATGTGTATGTGTGTAGAATCGCGG